ATGAATATTGATGAAAATATAGAGAAATATTCAACATGGGAACGCACAGTATCTCTGTGTGCGTTTTAACGTACGTGGATACCCAATTAAACAAAGCCAAAAAGCCCTTTATTCCAATACCCGGTAAGTCGAACGTATATGAAGCAAAATATGCATTACGCAAATATGGAAAGCAGAATTATATGGGCATCCATTTCGGAGTATGTGAAAACGTCGACTAGTGGAAGGGTAAATATGATAGTCCTGAGGCACTTCACACACTGATCTGTTTGATTGGCATTTTAAAGGTTGATGAAGAATAATATCGTTGTCTCTCTTGCTTGACAAAGGTATAAGAATCTATTCCTTAACATCGATCCATAATATGATAAAGAAGTTGTCATCCAAAAAGTATCATAAGATTCATAACTCACTCACTCACTCACTCAGACAAATTCTGAAAACCTTAGTGCATAATTTTGATTCTGCATTGGTTAGCGTACAGTAGATATTTCATCTTATTATTCAATGGGTTATTTTGGGCTTCTATTTGCTTACTAAACCTGTTCTTGCAGTTGTTGCTGGACAGAGTGTTTCAGTGCGAAGCGCGTGTGTGACCACCCGTCAGTTTGTGTGTGTCATCCTAGTCCTACAGTATATTTCATTCCTCACGTCACTGTTCACTGCGGGGCGGTTGGGTAGCCTAGTGGTTAAATCGTTCCCTCGTCCCGCCGAAGACCCGGGTCCGATTCCCAACGTGGGTACGATGTGTAAACCCCATTTCTGGTGTCCCCCGCCGTTATATAGCTGGAATATAACCGGCTTAAAGCCATACTCTATCACTGGTTTCATCAGCTTTACAGGTTTCCCTGTAGTAATGCATTTTGACATACACGCTAGTCACTATCGTGCGTCTACACCTTTCACCTGGAACAAATATTTCCAGGGATTACTTAAACATAACTTGTAATGTCATATCCTAAACGTTTAGATTGTTTGATGAGGTCAGGGGAGGTAGCAGCCTGAAGTTAGCAGCGGGTTCGTGTTTCGTTATTCGTCTTTCGAATAACGAATAACGTGCTAGCAGCGGGTTCGTTATTCAAGCGCTCTACACGGAATATCTATAATAGGGCTGTCATATACACATAAACTCATGACATAAAAGATTGTGGGATCCATTCACAGGTGTACCAAATGTGCATGAGGTGTTTAATTATACAGAACCTCTGAATAACGAAAAACTAACCAGCACTGGGTTCATTATTCAATGTATGCCCATCCATTCTATCAAATATGAGATAACAAATATGTCATACCGTATTTGCAGAGGGTTCGTGTTTCGTTATTCGTCTTTCGAATAACGAATAACGTGCTAGCAGCGGGTTCGTTATTCAAACGCTCTACACGGAATATCTATAGTAGTGCTGTCATATACAATGAAACTCTTGTAATAAAGATTGTGGGATCCATTTACAGGTGTACCAAATGTGCATGAGGTGTTTATTATTCAGAACCTCTGAATAACGAAAAACTAACCAGCATTGGGTTTGTTATTCAAGGTATGCCCATCCATTCTATCAAATGTAAGGCAAATGCAGTCTACCGTATATGCAGCGGGTTCGTGTTTCGTTATTCGTTCCTTTTTCCCGATTTGCAAATGCTGTATGTTACTAACTACAGTATATCATTCAAATGACTCTTTTCAATGTCTCAGTATAGGAGATCAGGGTGTCAACCATGTATTTAGTTACTCAGAAATGGATACCGTATTTCCTCCATTACATACTGGGTATACAATGCACGCCTGCCTCCAACTGACGCTGTATGATAGTGTAATTTTCGATTTAGCCAGATAGTAACTACCCTTTGAGTTCATATTAAACACGGTAGAAGCAGAGTTAACGGATTGTGTTGTATTAATAAACGATCTGTTTTATGATATGAACTTCGCTAATCTCTCCTTATTCCCACAGCTGACCAAGGTTTAAAATTCCAGCATCTGTAGCTCGCTGATATTATCAGTTTAACCACGAGGAAGTGGGCCTTCAGTTTATCTGTGTAAATTATCGCTGTCAAGGAGCCACTCTGTAATGGTTAGTATCAACCGCTCCTCTCAGTCATTATTTGCCTTAAAAATATGAATGCCTGAAAATTCTGAATGTGCTTGCACGCACACACAAAGACTTACACACGCACACTATTTTAAAGCATCAGCATTGTCACTTACCAAATGTTTACTCCTCTCACGAAGTTCATGCATATTGAGTGTCCTATTTAGTACATAGAGGTAAAATACATTTCTTCCCGTACAAATAAAAAAATAATATACATTCCACCTTCCTTTTTCTGACCACATTTTCTAGTTACCGGTATTCAATATGAAAAACTAACCCGCACCAGATGAGGTGTTCAGTTTATGACAAAGGAATATGAAAATATATTGAATGAACAATCATCAGCTGCTTTCAGTCATCATTAATTGCTGGGAAGCCTTTGCAGGAGTAGTCTTCATTACGAATTGTCTTATTTTACGAAAAATAGAAAACACAGGACTATGTAAGTGTATGATGAGTGTATCTTCGCTCGTAGGATCTGTCAAAGTATCGCTGTTTTCAACCAAACCCCTACATCCGTTCCCATAGAAAAAGGTATCTGGTCGTGCCCATCATCACCCATATATAAACAACTGTCAAACCTTGGTACCATCATTGTATTATCGCTTGACTTATCTCTGCATCGTTGAAAGATACATTTACCGCGTTTAAAACAAAGATTGTATTAATTGTCAACCAATTGTAGACCAGAAACAGGAGACAATTTTGCTTCATTTACCAGTAGACATGCCATTGCAGAGGAAGAACTTATTGATGATGAAAATATTCTGTTAAAAAAGATATTGGTGACTGCAAACCTGAACTTAAAACATGGATAATGAGGTGTGTGACAGATAAGTTGAGGGCAACAATACTGCAGAGGATATTATTAATGATGACAACAGTACAGTAAAAGCAGAGGACATTGAAGAAGCAGAGGACGTTGAAGATAGGTTGTGTGGTGGCAACAGAAAACTGGAAAAAGAAGAGGAGAGAGTGTGTGATGACAACCCGTCCTTTCGGCCAGAGAAATTCTCCTTTCACATCAAGTACAAAAAGTGGAAAACAATTGACATTAAAACCAACAGAAGAGGGGACCGAAGCTTAACTGGAAACTGGACATCCATGTTAGCAAAAGCCATCAGTAAAACAAACCCTGCTTGTCCTTTGATATTTCGATGTAACCATGTTAGAAAACTAAACTCAAGAAAGAAGAATTGTCCATTCTTCACTGCAAAGGCTTGCTGCAAATTCGAAGGATGTATAAGATACATAGTGAATATAAGAAAGGAACCAAAGGAGGGCAAGCCAGTGAAGGTAAAGGTGAAGGCTATCAAACCCTTTACACAGATCAGTCATGAAGATGGTGTGGTCAAAGGTAGGCCTATCAAAGGACCTGAGAGGAAACACATTGCAGACGCCATTAAGCAGAGCGGACCTTCAAATGTTTACTATGAGAAATTAGGGAATGTGGACAGCGCAGCTTATAAAGCCGGAAATTCCACTGGCTATGGAACAAAGGAAGTGATGCAAAAGATTTCATCAGAATCGAGCCTTAGTATGAGACTTCATAAAGATGTTATTGCAGAAGTGGCACTTCTCAAGAAGGTGTACAAAGGAAGATGATACAGAGGGTGTACTAAAAGGGTTCATTCAGTACCTGTCAATGTTCCCATTTACCGTGAGCCTATACAATAGTCAACAGATTTCCTTACTGGCTGAACACATTCGGACAGGAACTGCGACTTTGTATTTTGATGCAACAGGTAAAGTTATTTCAAATATACCATCGCAACCAAAGAAGGTTTTGTACTACCCACTAATTCTCAAAGGGCAGGAAAAAGGTGATCCTCCAGTTCCAGTTGCTGAATTCATCTCCAACAGTCACAACACTGTTGATATCAGTGCCTTCTTTATGAAACTCAACAGAGACTTGCATCAGCGTTATCCGAGTACGAGGATCCCTCAACGAATTGAGATTGACTTCAGTTGGGCATTTATCCATGCTATTCTGCTCGCATTCAATCATGATGACATAAATTCTTATCTCCAATGGGCATGGGGCTCAATACATATGACCTGTGACTGGGGCATCAATACAAAGGTGCATATCTGTTCAGCCCATCTTCTGCACAAGATTTCAGGACGCTTGCGCCAGCTTGTAAAGATGAAAGACTGCAGAAAGTATATCTTGTATGTGATTGCCCGTATGGTGGATGCAGAAAACCTGGAACATATTCATGCATGTTTCAAGAGTCTGTGTACCTTGTTATTATCGAAGAATCTTGACTCCCCCCACCCACATGTAGACAGGAGTATCAAGTATTTGGACAAGGTTGTAGCTAATGAAGGCCCTGCTACAGGAGTGGATGTATTTGAGGACAGCAGCGACGATAAACAGAAGAAAAAGCGGAAAGTACACAACCAAGTACTTCTGCTTTTGCAATCCACTTCCGCCGTATCTCTGAGGAGGTAAAATCAGAAACCCAAAATGGTACCTCTGGGAAAAATCCCTACTACAGCCCCGACACAGTGATGTACCTGTTAAACACGTACATGAAGATATTGCCATTATGGACAGGATTATTGCTTGATGGAGAAGGACATGACACAAACAGTCCAGCGGAGAACTGGATGAAGATGGTCAAGAAGGACTTTCTTGGGTGCAAAACACGCCTGACTCCAAGCAATTTCATCATTGAAGTAAGGGCAAATCTTAAAGGACGTCTAAGAGAGTTAAGTCATCGCCAACATATCCAGAAACAGACGGTAGACCCCTTAGAGAGCAACAACAAGAACAAGAAAGAATCAAAGGAATCAACCTCATTCATAGTGTCGGAGGAGAAATGGGGAGGAAAAAGGCAAAAGAAAGGAGATACAAGAGGAAGAGAGAAAGGTTTACACTGGGGAGGAAAAGTTCAGTTTACATCTTTCCAACACCTGTCCCGTGGACAATCTCCTTATGATCATGTATTACGTCTTACAACAAAACCACATAAGGAAGTGGTTTGAAGAAAACAGGGCCAAGTTGGAAGTTTGCCAAGTTCTCTTGGATGTTAGCAGCCTATTTCAGTCAGGCAACTGGAGAGAAGGCAGGGCATTATGGCTGAGGAAATATCTTCCTCTGCCCACAACCGACACTTGGAACGTCTGGCGAAGTGAGGTGGAGAAATTTGTTTGCCACTTTGGAGAGGTGCAAGAAACGGAGGTTTCATCATCTTGCTCCAAACGTACTGGCAGGTTGTAAACAGATGAAATATTCACTTTATTTAAAAGAGGGTATTACTTTACGAAAAGGATGTAGATTAGGTAGAGAAAAAACAAGGTTTCAAATCTTCAAGTTCACATTTATATGTATCTTTTCCAGAGATAAAGATAATTCTGGGTCATGTTGCCTTCATGAAAGCCTGAAGCAGTGGGAAGACACGTTCCCTTCAATGTGTTCTATGGTGAGTATTTTCCCCACCCTTTCTTTTATTACTGTATGTAACGTAGGTCCTGGCTGACAAAATTACTTTTCTTGTAAATAGAAACACTTTTTGGATTATACACCAGACACGTTATCAATAAGCTGAGTGTCTGTTGTGTCCTGCTATATGTTGTCGTTTGTTATAACCTTGTAATTACAGTAGCATATGTACATACCCTTTTCTGGAATATTAATGATGATGTTCTCACTGAAGGATTCATTCATTTGTAACTAAATATATCTCTTGGTACAGGAACACCATACGGACAATGCAAATGAGTGAGGACAAGCACACAACGAAAATTTGTTCAGAAGTGTCCACCGGTCCTTATTATGAGCGTCTCTTACTTGAGTCAGTCAAGAGGACTTGTACCAAGTGCGTTACCTGATTCAGTGGTTGTACAAACAAACAGGTGATTTTTATATGGATATATTTTAGCTTGTTCCTAATATATGAATGTCAAACTTAACATATTTATTTGAAGGTTGGTCATAATAAGTGTTTTCACCTCATTAACCAGCACGTTAGCCGATTCTTGTTTAGTGCCAAAGTGAGAGAGTTATAAATATTTCAGCTCTCAGAACGAGAGCTTGTTACAATCAGAGTGAGGCAATCTTGAAGTGTCAGTTGAACCCAAAAATCTCTTTTTGAATATCCGAATGAATGTTTCAATGTATAGCTTACAGCATATTTTATTTCTCAGATATGACCTGTTTGCGTACACAGTAGGCACTGGAGATCACTTCAAGGCTTACCTTCAGATTAACAACAGCTGGCACAAATACGACGGCCTCGACAGTCCTGAGGTGTCAGAAGTTCGTAGTCGAGGGGAAGATGGCCAACTTGAGCATGCTGTCTACATTTTAAAATGATCATCCGGCCTTGTTGTGTGTTAACAGACAATGTGCTACAATGTGTCTATGCTTTCTATGCTGAATTACACAACTGGTCAGGTGATGGTGACATGAGAGCTGAAGGAGGATATTTCATTGCCATCCGAACTGACAATGTCTAATGCTGGTTCACTGAATGTGTTAGTGTTTGCTGGAAACTGTGATCGTAGTCTCAAAACTGGAATTGATGCAATGATTTTATTTATCAAATAGGTGAACAATGTTTCCCTTTGCTGATTTGCGCGTATCAAGACAACCACTTCCACGGTGTACCAAAGTTAGACTATAGTGCAGAATATATAAGTGTACATTGTCAGTGAAGAAGTATTGCCATTTAGTGTTGTAGTTGTCCAATCGATATATTTTGTATTGTGACATGTGTAACTGTCTGTTTATTGCAAATGTACACAAAAAATCCAAACTGACGAAAGGCCTTTCTCATGGAAAATACAGTTTGGGTAACTCACTACTTTTGACTGAAAAGAATTATCATTGAAGCGTGTAACTCGTATGATAACCCTTTCCTTAGAGTACATAGACTAGTTTGTTATATTTTCTTTAATTTAGATATTATTCCTAAATAAAATGTCTGTGAAAATCCGACTGATCGTTGTTATTGATCAATGAGACACTCAAAGACAAACAGCCCAAATAGTAAATCTCGATGACGTTTAGAGTCAATTACTGGACAACACCAAGTAACCAACAACTGCTTGGAAACATCTTAGACGGTCTTACACTTTGTCAGATTGTTAGACATAAACAAAATGAAGAAGGCATTGCGGGTACACCTTTAAGATGAAGCTGATGTGTTAATCTTAGTCGATTGATATACTCCCTTTACACACAACGAATGAATAGATATATTTGTTATCTTACTTGTAGACGAACATACATTGAATAGCGTACCAGTGCTGGTTAGTTTTTCGTTATTCAGAATGTGCTGAATAAGTAAATACCTCATGCTTATTTGTACACCTGTGAATGGATCCCACAATCTTTTATTACATGAGTGTCAATGTATACCGGTATATATGACAGCACTACTATAGCTATTCCGTGTAGAGCGTTTGAATAACGAACCCGCTGCTAGCACGTTATTCGTTATTCGAAAGACGAATAACGAAACACGAACCCGCTGCTAACTTCAGGCTGCTAGGGGATGTATACTCATATATTATACTTGACCGAGAATATCATTACCTCGATACGATATATTATATTAAATATAAATCGTATAATTCAGTTTGACCTTTACAAGTCTCGTAAATGTTGATATGAATGACGAAGATTGCCCAGTCGCCGAAGACGCCAAAAGGTTCCCTCCCTTCGTGTGTTCGAATCCAACGTACGCCCTGATTATGTTCCCAGGTTTTTCAACACAGTACCCGTACTCATGGATTTCACCAGAGCGGTAAAGTAGTACTTTGGGTTTTCCTCTCACATTAAGCTGAGATGGTGTGAAATATCTGATCTGTTCAACTTTAAACCAAAATAACTTACTTTCTTATCTTTGTCTTATAATAACTGGCCATTTACATAGTGCTGAACTCCATGCACAGGGACATGCTCCAGGCAATATGATTACCCCGGATAACACAAGCTGCCTGTTAGGCGCTAGAAGGTTAATAGTCATATGACCACCGGGTACCCATTTTCTACTGGATGAACAGAGGCAATTTTAAACAAACTCAGTTGCCTAAGGTGTGAACACATAGGTGCTTCGTTGTGGGACAGGACCGAAATCCTAGAAACTCTCAGGAGTCAAGCTGCCAAACACGGTCACCCATCCAAGGACTCTCCCTGACCAACGTTGCTTTACTTCACCTGATTTGTGACCTGTGCCCACGTGAAAGAGGTTTACGCTTGCATGAAAGAATTGCATCAAAATATTATATCTCAAAAGCAAAACATACTAAACCGACACTTAATATACATAAATAAGAAATATCTGCCAAAGTATTACGAACCTTACAAACGTTGTTCATGTTGACATATATCAACATATGATATGGTATTGTACATTCTTAGAAACTCTCCAAGCAATGATTGTCAGTAAACATCAGCATGTGAGCGGCTGTTGTTCCAGTGAAGAGGCCTTATACCTTACCCTTGAGTCAGTGGTACGTGCAATGGATTTCTTATGACTGTGGAGGGGTAGCTCTTTACTATATACCCTGTCATCAACATCATCATCACCATCATCATTGATTTACATTAAACAATCAAAAAAGTTTGTTCTTCGTGTTGTCGTGTTAATGCCTCTTTCCACAGAACTTTTAAACAATATGTTGTTATTTGAACTTTGACATTCAAACTTCCAGACATAATTTGTAAATGAGGTACAAATGTCACTATATGTCATAATACACACGCACACATGCACACACACACATACACACACATCAGACAGTCTCTGCATATGTCTTTGCTGCTTAAGAGGGGTTTGTAATTACAATCATATACCGTATTTACTAGTAATTACCATTAAATGGCAACTTAGTCAACTTGGAGCATTAACGCTATCAAAAACATGATAGACATTGAAAGATGCGTTATTGAAATAGGAGTGAAATACCGTTCACTTTCTTTGTGCTTGTCTGAGAATCGGGCACGGAAAACAGGACACACTTCTTTGAAAGGCAGTATGGTGATCTAACTTCAGTTGTTGGCGATCAATAGCCCGATTTTATATTGTGATGTTTTGAAATGATTTAACATTTTACACTGAACTCAAACTAGTTTTAATCGAATTGTGATATTCTAGTCGTTATACTGTCCTTCGCTGGCAGATTTTTAAATAAGTATACATATGTTTATTCTTAGTACATAACTTTTTGTCATCACAATATGGCTGAAATATATATACTAACCGTCCCTCGCCTGTTTTCTACAGAGATTTACATTTGTGCCAGACAATGGCGGCTATTCATACAAACACAGTTTAATATACTTAGCCAAATACAGCAATTGCAATTGCAATGCATTTACACTGCAACAGTTGTATTAATTAAATTCATTTGGAGGTTCCCAGTAATATTTATGTTCCGTACTCACTAATAAAAACTCGTCTCTGCGCACTTGAATTTATTGTTTTCTTCGTTACTGTTACATATATGACAGTTTCCAACCTACAAAAACCGACGAACAACGATGAATCAATGGCGAACGTGAAATTGTGTAGCTTTCACGCTTCGAAGGGACACACAGACAGACATAACATTTTGCCGCGCACTGCACTGGTCTAAGGGAGATAACTCGTCACATTACCTGCTACAATTTATGTATGGTGATTTGGACACACAAGCAAGAAATGGTATTTGTCCTCTATGACATGTGTACCAGATGATCAACCAAATTCACAATATCTCAGATTTCTATCGATGTTTTTGTAACGTCCTGTTTCAATTTGTAGCTTATGGCATGATATTCTAATCTTTGTTAGATAGCATCGTAGATTCTGTGGAATCAAATTAAGATAAAAGTCATATTCAAACATCTGTTTAACTTTCCAATACAATAGAATTTTACTACTCTTCTCTAACTCACTTCTGCATACAATTATCATTCATGCGTGGTTTAAATGAGGCTACAAATGACATGCAATCACCAGAATACGGATCTAGCCAAACATATGCATAACCATTTTTACACAACAATTCCTTTACTGAGTAACACCAATTTTTCCCCTTTTTCGCAATAGAGTAGTGATATGTTTACAGTAATGTAAAACTCTACAATATATATTTACGCACAATGGTATTCTACCATATTCACTGTAAACTGCTGCATTTGATGCTTTAGGATGGACATGTAATATTTCCTTACAAAACCTAAGATGTATTTTTTCTAATTCCGGTGCATAATTTAGGTCCCATATCTCACAACCATAGCTGAGACGAAAGAATCAAAGAGTTGACACCATGTTTTGGGTGAGAAAACTCAACACCTTAAGTGAGAAGACACAGTACTCTTGCAAGCTATTTATATGACACTGTAATCCTTCGGGAGTTTGAGAGACAACAACCATATCAATATGGTGGAAATATCAATGATGAGGATCTTGGGTGAGTTGGTAGGGGATAGGTTATAACCTTGGTCACGGTTGTTTGATCGTTTTTTTTATGTGGATAGCTTACTGATTTTAAAGTCTCAAGTTGTTAACCTTTTGGTTCTGTCCCATTGGATACTATGGTCGGTATTGTCTTGGACGAGGTCTGATGCTCTTTGATTCGGGTTTGGAGGGGTCTTGATGTTTTGCCTACATAGTCCTGTCCACAATTACATGGGACGAACAATATAGACCTGTGCAAATTTAAGCACCACTCATAATGTTATAAATGTGTTATTTTGGGTTCTTTATGAACCACCGTCGATGCAACACATTAACATGTGACCACAGACAATGACCACACGACTGTCCATGTCGGACACGGGGGCGTGTCGCGTTGACAACTGACTCTTTAATCTCAGCTTCCTCCATAAGAAACAAAACAAATCAAATTATGTTTATGTTTTATTTTAGTAAAACAATTAAAAACAATAAACAGTATCAAAACAATACACAAGACTAAATCATATTTCAACAAAGACAGTAAATGGAAGCTCAATCTTTTGGTGGTCGCATTAGCAAATAACACTTTATAGCAGGGATCGGCAAATTGTCTCAAACCTTCAGTCACACTCTTATGGATCTCAGGCTGTCCAGATTGTTTAACTGAGCCACGTAACATAAGCATGACAAAGACCAGTGCCCACACGACCACCGGAACCGATGCTGCGGTTGATGCCGAAGTAGATGTCGTAGTTGGGGGAGCCGCCCTCGGAATCCGACTGTCCATTCAAGGCATACAGTAGGTTCGTGTTGAGGTAATAGTTGAACTCTGCTCCCCAGTTGTTCCAGATGACGAGGCCGTCGGCGATGATCACGCTGAGACGGTTGGTGATGATGTTGGGACGGGTCAAGAGAATCCCACCTGCGGGACTGTTCTGGTCGTTACCATAGATACGAAATGTAGAACTGGTTCCTTGTATTTCGGCGTCTCGGGATGTGGTGGCACTGTCTCCACCTGTGATGATAAAAGACAGTAACATGTAGGATACAGGACACATCAAGTTGGAATCATATCAGGTGAAGGTTATGGAATGGAAATTTGGGATCCATCAACAAACCTGAATTGTTTTAAATTTCCCTGTAGTCAATTATTCTGAGACAATAATTTCGGGCATCAAAGAAACCGAACTGAATGTATAAATATGTTATTGAAGGATACCTCACAACCTATGCAGCCAATGATATGTTTATAATGTATTCTTGCACCAGAGAGGGTGACCACCGTGAGCAAAACAATCTCCTTGCTAAATGTAGCTTAAACTCCTACTCACTCTATGCAAATAAACAAATCTGATGGTGTTATTTATAAAAGTAACTTTTGATCATGACCAATTAACGTTTATTCCATACTTATGCATACTTATTCCTGTACTTATTACAT